GAGCTTTAATCTTTAGTCAACTCCAATCATCCTTCTATTGACAGGCACTTAGGTTTTTCTAATGTTTTACAACTTGAAACAAAGCTGAATGAACGTCCCTGTGATCTTATGTTGATGTCCAGTGGCAGCTCCAGATATCTCTCTAGGAGAGGTGCAATGATGGGGAGGGAGCTATAGGAGACCTGTCTTGAAGGTGTGCTTGCATGACAAGTACATAGCAAGTGTTTATTTGGGGTGACTTGGCAGAGCAGGGCTGAAGGAAATTAGGGGAGGGCCCCCCCACCATGGTACCATGACTGCACAATTCCGTGAGTGCTTCAGGAAGTAAATTCCTAGAATTGGCTTTGCAAGGTGTTCAACCTATGGATTGTTGGGTAACAGACCACCGGCAAACTTAGTTGCAAACAACAATCATTTATTTTGCTCATGAATGAATCTGCTATTAGGGCTGAGTTTGGAGAGGATGGCTTGTCTCTCTTCCATACAGTGTCAGTTGAGCCTCAACTGGAGGCTAGAGGATCCACTTTGAAGAGGGTCTACTCACAAGGCTGGCGAGGTGGTGCTGGCTGTTGACTGGCTGCTCCCCCAGGGCTGTGGGCTGGATGTCTTAGTTCTGCCCCATGTGAGCTGCATTTTCATGACTGGTTGGCTTCCTCAAAGTATGGCAGCTCATTTCCAAGAATGAGCCACTCAAGAGAACAACGAAGTACATTATCTTTTTATGACCCAGCGTGACATTCCTCTGACCCAGCATGGTATTTTTATGACCTGGTGTCACTTCCACCATAGTCGCAAGCATGCTCAGATTCAAGGGGAGGGAATATAGACCCCACTGCTTATGGATGGAGTACCAAGGTCTCACTGAAAGAAGGGCTTATGGGAGGGAAACATTGTTTCAACCATCTTTGGAAAATACAATCCGCAGCACAAGATGAAGCAACTTTGTAACTCTGACTCTTTCTCTATCCAGATATAGATGAGTGTTCTCAAAATCCCCTACAATGTGGTCACAACTCAATCTGCAAAAACCTGCCAGGGAGGTACAAGTGCAGCTGTTTGCCTGGTTTTTCTTCTCCTACTGGAAACAACTGGAACCCTGGAAAGCCAGGTCGTTTCGCCTGTACAGGTAATGCTCTCAGGATCTCAGGCATGGTCTTTGGTGGAATGCTATCACTGAGTTGGGTACACGTGTTTCTCACTGTAGACACCCAATCTTTTGTCTGCTCACTCTCCTCTACTGCTCCTCAGACATCAATGAATGCCTCTCCAGCGGAATCTGCCCAGAACATTCTGAGTGTTCCAACTCCTTGGGAAGCTACAGGTGCAGCTGTCGTGCTGGGCTCTTCTCTAACAACTCCGCCTGTGAAGGCACAGAGGGCCTGCCCTTCTTTATTTACCTACTTAATTAAGAATCACCTCATTTGATGGTCCTTTGAGGCAGGGATCATGATCCTCACTTTAGGAATGAGAAAATTGAGGCTCAGAGAGGTGAAGTGACTTGCCCAAGGATGCACAGCTGTTAAGTGGAAGAACCAGGGTTTGAACTCCTGTTGAGGCACTACTGTGACTTAAGCAGTGGGTCAGGCAGTACTTGAGAGTAATAGGGGGCTCTGTCCCTACAGCGATTTTATCCTCAGGGGACATTGGCAATATCTAGAGACATTTTTGATTGTTGCAGCTGCTGGTGGTGTTGGGGTTGTGTGTGCTATTGTCATCTAGTGGGTAGAAGCCAGAGATGCTGTTAAATACTCTACAATGCACAGAACAGCCTCCCCGCAAATAAAAATGATCCAGTCCCAAATTTCAGTAGTGCTGAGGTAGAGAAACTCTGTCCTAGGGAGAGCTCAGATCCAAACCTCAGCACTTTTTCCTAAAAGATATTTGAATTAAGACCTGAGAGTTACCCTCACCCCCCTTCCCCTTCCATATTAAATCAGTCATCATGTCTTGGGGTATCTACCTGCTAAATATGTCTTGAATCTCTCCACTCTTCTCCATCCTTGGATCAGGCTTCATCCGTATTGCAGCAGCATCCCCTCTGGTCTCTCCCTTTCTGCAGTCTTGTCGCCTCTATCTATCCTCCACACTGCAGCCAGAATGTTCTCACCAAGACACCAAGGCTCCATCTTCCGGAGTCTAGTGTGGTTCTATTGTTCTCCACATTCATTTATAGGAAGGGTGACTCCATCCAGCAGGGCATGGAGTGATCCAGCCCTCATCACATCCCCTTGACTTGGAGTCACAGATATTTGAAGTCATCTCTGATTTGTCTAGTCCATTTTTAGCAGTTAGCTATTGCTGAGTAACAAATCACCTGGAATGACAATGGCTGAAAAAACCTAACATTTATTTAGCTCTTGATTCCATGCATTGGTGGTTTAGGTTGGGCTCTGCTGGTCAGTTCTTTGGGTCTCAAACATTCTTCGTGTGTCTGTGGTCAGCTGTGGTTGGGCTGGGCTGTCGCACATGACTGGGGCTCATCTGGGATGATCCATGTCTTCCATCCTTCATTAGGCTAGTTTAGGGCTTGTTCATGTGGCAGAATCAGGAGGCCCAAAGCATGAACAGAAGCAAAGAAGCCTCTAGAGGTCAAAGTTAGGAACTGGTGCCACATCACTTTTGCTGCATTCAATTGGCCAATGGAAGTCATAGGGCCAGCTGGATTCAGCGGTGGGAAACAAACTCCACATTTAAAGAGAGGAGTGTCAAAGTTACGTCATACTGCATAACCTGCATCCTGAGGTGTGGATACAGGGGTATATATGGGGCCATTGAAGTATCACACTCGTGGCAGATATCTTTTGGATGGATGAATAGATGGAAAGCTGGATGCATAGATAGGTGGATAGCTGCTTGGATAGATGGATGGATGGATGGATGGATGGCTGGCTGGCTGGCTGGCTGGCTGGCTGGCTGGCTGGATGGATGGAAGGATGGATGGATGGATGGATGGATGGATGGATGGATGGATGGATGGATGGATGGAAGGATGGATGGAAGGATGGATGGATGGATGGATGGATGGGTGGATGCATGGACGGATGTATGACACAAACAAATGAACAACAACAAAGAAATAAACAGTGTACTTTTTTTTGTCTGTGCTAAAAAAGAAAGACTACAGCCTTTCTGCAAGCTATGATCATTATATTTGACATTATTGTCATCCTTTTGCTTACATACCACTGGCCAGAATTTATTTTAACCACGACACCTACCTGCAAGGGAGGTTAGGAAGAAGGGGAGAATGTGGGTATTGGGGAGCCTCAGCACTGCGTGCCACGAGCTAAGAACATGTAGAGCGAATCTCCACTTGCAGTCTCCTGTCTTCATTTCCTCCTCTGCCTTGATCTGGGTTTTCTCTTCCACTCTCTAGATGTGGATGAATGTGTGGATCCCAGAGCCTGCCCAGAGCATGCGACTTGCCACAACAGCCCTGGAAGCTACTATTGTGTCTGCAACCCAGGATTTGTTTTTAGAAGTGGAAACACGAGATTCCTCAGTCCTGGAGGGACATGTGAAGGTAGGTG